TGGAAGAGCAGCTCCACTGCTGAGCCAGCTCTCCAGCCCTTAGCAAAACCTATTAAACAGAGGTTGCCTGGATTATTGAGGTAAGAGTAAAAACACCCCCAGGAACTACCTCCTTGGTGTAGGGGTGGGGCAGGGAGCAAGTTCCTTCTCTAAATAGAGGAAGGAAAGCTTACTGATTATCATGTAAGTTTCCAAGATGTTGGGAAAAGTGCCTGATGCCAAAAAACTCTCTTCTCCCCTCTTGTACCAGCTCCCAAGAGAACTGCGGTCTATGGCAGAAGAAATCTCCTGTGTGTTTTTGTTGGAGACAGGGTCTCTTGTATCCCCAGACTCCCTACACATCCAGAGATGACCCTGAACTTGTGAGCCTCCTCTGGCACTACATCATAGGCATGGTTTGTGTGGTGCTGGATGTAATGTGGAAATGGTTCTCATATTTTTACAAAAGGCTGGCAGTGGCTGCCTTGGACATAATAGGCAGGGGCTCTACCACTGAGCCACACCCCAGCCCCTCACTGGGGGATTCTACCACTGAGCCACATCCTAGAGGCAGAAGGAGGAAATGTTGAGGGAGAAGGTAGGAAAAGGAGACATTGGGGAGGAAAGGGTGTGCTGGAGAGAGGAGATGGTACAAGTGGTAAACAGGTTGTGCAAGCATGAGCACTGAGCTCTGATCCTCTCTCATTTCCTATTTGAGGCACGTCTTCCTATTTTTCCCAGGGTACCCTTGAACTCAAGATCTGCCACACTCAGCTTCACGAGTACCTGGGATTAAGGTGTGCACTGCCATGCCCAGCAATCGTTAATAAAATCGCTGAGGATCTTGTTAGGTCACAAAGGACGTATTGAATAAGCATCATAGCACTGCATTTTCATCTCCGCTAGCAGTGTGTCAGGGCCTCCTCGACCGCGCCCCAGATGAGGGAATCACCACTTCTTAAACATACGACTATAAAGTGGTAAGTGTTATCTTTTCTACTTTTTTTTTTTTCTTTGAGACGAAAAAGGAAGAGAGAGGGTTTCGTGTAGGCCAGGCTGACCTCAAAACTTACCATATGTCAGTGAGGATGGCCTTGAATCCCTGATCCACCTATCTCCCAGTTCCCAAGTGCTGGTGTTACAGACATACAGCGCCACTCGGGGCTGTCTTTCTATTGAAGTGTTTTCTATTGTGGTTGAGGCTCTGGGTTCAATATAAAAATAAACTATAAAAATAAAATGAATATAATTTTTTCTATTGTGCCTGTCCTGAAGAGATGGCAAGAGTGTGTTCTTCTCTTACAGAGGATCTGGATTTGAGTCCTAGCACCTAAAGCTGATGGTTTACAACCTTCTTTAACTCCAGCTCCAGGGGATCAATGTTCTAGCATCAGCAGGCACCCTCATTCTCATGCACATACCCATAAACAAAAATACACACAAAGGGGCACATACACATAATCTAAATTAAAAAAAAAATAATTGCCAGATGTGGTAGTGCACTCCTTTAATTCCAACCCTTGGAAGACAGGGGTGGGCAGACCTCTGAGTTCCCAGACAGCCGGGGCTACATTAAAAAACCCTGTCTCAAATTTTTGTTTTGTTTTAATTAGTTATCTAAAACCAGTCTGATCTACATAGCCAGTCCCAGGCTAGTCAGGGCTACATAATGAGACCTTGTCTCCAAAAAAAATTTAATTGTTATTAAATTTTTCAAATGCCTACTGTTAACTATGCGTGTTTTGTTATTCTGTGTTTGACTTTTAGACCATTAACCTCATCACAAATTGGTAGTTACATACGGTGTGAGACAGGGGGTTAACTGTGCTTCTGAATGGCTTGGTTATCATTTATCACACAGTGTGATCTGGTTTCAACTTTCTGCCCTTCCATTTATTATCCAGGGTGACCTTGGAACTGGACCTTTTTTTGACATAGGTAAACACTTCCTTCTTGAAATATTTACTTCCTTTAGCTTTGGCCACAGAACAATGTCCTAAATTTCCTTCTGCTTCTGTGGTCTCTGTCTCTGTCTGTCTGTCTGTATGTGTGTGTGTATTTGCCTCTCTGTGTGTCTGTCTCTGTCTCCACCCAGCAGAAAGATCAAGAGCTCAGGGTCAGCCTCAGCTAGACCTCAAATGTGAAGCCAGGCTGGGATGCCTACAGTTCTGCCTCAAAAACAAATAACAAAACCACTGTTTTGTTTGTTATTATAGTTTCATCTGGTTTTAATTTTCTGCCCTTCCATTCATTATCCAGGGTGACCTTGGAACAAATAACAATTAACAAAGGACTGTTAGGCACAGTCCTTTGATGGGGGCACTCAGGGCACAGAGGTAGGCGGAGCTCTGTGAGGTTGAAGTCAATACAGTTTATGTAGAGAGGCCCAGGCCAACTAGGGCTACACAATGATACACAGCCTCAAACAAACAGCAGCAATAAACCAGAATCATGCTTGGAGTCCTCAAGGAACACTCTCATGATGCATGGGCTGTGAGTCTGGCCCCACACTGTCTCCTCGTCCCAGGACACTCAGCTAGATCCTTTCCGGTTCTTGGCTCAAGGTGCTGCTCAAACATGTCAAGGTCCTGGCTAACAGGAGGGTTCTTCAGGAGCCAGCCAGTGAGCTTCCCCTCTGCCAGTCCAGAAACACGCACAGCTCACCAGCGCTCAGCACATGTCCCAACACACAACTCCCCCAAGAGGGCTCCCACCACCCTCACCTGAGTGCAGGGTCTGTGGTCCTGTCTGCTGTCCCTAGTGCACATGCCACAATGGCAAATCCAACAAAGGCAGATTGTCTGTCTCACACCAGCACCCCACACCTCTCTCTCTCGTTCCTGCCAGAGGGGATGGAAGAGCACCCCCTCCCTATCAAACAAGCCAGGGATCTGAGCCCTTCTTTAATGGCTCTCATCCCCTCGAGTCTCAGATCCAGCAACCCAGATAATGCTCAGCACATTTCAGGTACTCAACAGTTACCAGGTGAATGAATGGATGTAGAATACAGTCCACCAAGTCATCTGGCTCTTCCCTGCTTTTTTCCCCCTTGGGGTGTGTGTGTGTGTGTGTGTGTGTGTGTGTGTGTGTGTGTGTGTGTGT